GAGCATGTCAATATAACAGTGTGTAGATATAAACAGAAAGACACTGCCAGCATTTACGCTTCTCCTTTGAGTATTCATTGCAATGAATCTGATCATACTTCTCATCTGTCTGTATCATGTGAATTCTGAGATTATCAAGATTCCTTTGCATCCCGTGACCGGAATTAAGTCAATTCTAAATCCGTCTTGGAAGTTATTGAGGGGAATGCAGCGAAGCTGGATGAAATTATGGAGTGGAGAAGAAACACCAAAATCACAACAACTGTATAACTTTCATGATGTAAGTTGATCTTCACTTATAAATTTATTGAGAAATGAGCAAGAAGCTTTACAAAGATATCCATTTGGAGATTTAATCTACATAAGCTGTACAACACGTTTTGTACAGAAGTTCACACGACTACATCTATCATTCAATTCAGCCAAAGAGTATATAGGACACAATAATTTTAAAATTTATAAGGAAGTTAGAAGGTGTGAATACAGATCACAAGAGGCTTAGAAACAAAATAACACAGGACTAGAAAATAACTCACTAATATGCTAAATGGATTTGGCGAGTTCAGGTGTGAACGAGATGGTTAAAGAAACAAACTGAAGTAAGAGTATTAATAGTTGAAGAAAACTATTGGGTTCTATGCGTCATAAGTAAATAAATAGTACTATCTCCCTTGGATAGCAAAATAAAAGTATTCTATGATAGACTTCGACTCTCCCACAGTGTTTAAATTATGAACACTTATCACACTTCCCTAAGCCGCTAGCACCAATTAAGTGTTCCAAGTCGTATTTCTAGTAAAATCGAAATTTAAGTGGTTTTTGAATAAATATCATTTCAGAGAAGAACATATCTACCAAATGCAGAAGGAGTTTGTCAAAGCCTTATAAAATTGTGTGATATTATCTTTTGATGTACACCACTTCATCACGATATCAGAAACATTCAGGTTTTCAGAATCTTATGTTTATTATATCTTTTCAAGATTGGATACTATGGAGAAATACAGGTGGGAACGCCACCACAAACGTTTCGTGTAATGTTCGACACAGGATCAACCGACAGCTGGTTTGCCTCAAGAAAATGTTGGTTTCTTGATATTCCGTGTTGGTTCATTCGATTTTACGACAGTTCGAAATCATCCACCTACAAGCCAAATGGTACTGAATTTCATGTTTATTACCTGACTAGCAGTTACTCTGGATTTTGGAGCATGGATACAATGCAGGTATTGTGCTTTTATAACTTGAAGCGACAACGGTTTTAGCTAAACTCCTTAGTTATTCGTAATCAGGCGTTTGCTGAAGTAACAAATGTGTTTTCCTTAGTCTTCTCTGCTGACGAATGTGATGGAATCATTGGTATGCAAATAGGAAATGTGTCAATATATGGGAACACTCCATTCTTCCCGAATCTAATTTCTCAATTCAGGGATATAGATCCAGTAATTTCCTTCTATCTGAGCCGGTGGGTTCTTGTTTATGATGCAACAATAATACTATTCAAGTGTTGGTTTGTAGGGATTTGATTGGTTACAGGATTTTCGAATCCCAGTGAGTGCGTGCTGATGAAGGGTCCCAAACTAGGACGAAACAGCTGTCCAGTACTCCCAGGTTTTCCAATGGTTCTCTAACTAATGTCAGCTCATGATGAAAATCCTGTAACCAAATAATACTATTGCTGTATATTGCTGATATTCCAGTGGTTTACTAATACGTTTTCCAATGATTTCTGACTCAATATTTACTTATTTGGCATACAGATTCACTGAAACTGAATTAAGTTTAAGTGGCTTTAAATATATGCTTAACATTAATCTCCTCCGTAATATTTAAGTGGAATACATCAGAAAGGAAATGGTTTGAGACAATCATAAGATTTCATTATTAAAAACACTTTCTGCCTACAAATTTTGGACTGAATTTAAAGAAATAAATTATGTGACCGAAGGTACATATAAACTAAAGTACTTGGCCAGTAATTCGTTTACATTGTCCTTTAGATTGTTATGACAGAAAGAGTCTTCAGCTGAACTTTCATTTACAGCTTCAGTACCCTTGGAATATGAAGTGTTGGAGACAATCATTAAATTCTGTGATTTCATTCAAATTCATAAATAACGTTTATTCTGATTGTTATTCACCTATTTGCAGAAACAGGAAGTTGAACACGTTGCTAACCTTTTTAGTAATTCCTCAAATTCGTGTCTGATATTTTGTAGGAAAAACGGTCTTGCTGGTGGAGAGATGGTGATTGGTGGTGTCAATCCTGAATATTTTATTGGAGATTTCGAAAACTTGCCTGTCATCTATAAAGACAGTTGGACTGTTACACTCAAAAGGTAGTCAATTGGTGCTTGCATGATTTCATGGGCAAAGATATTATTCAAATTAATTATTTCGTTTTATGAATTTCGACAACACAATAAGAAGACGTAGTTTATCTGAAACGTGTAATGTTTCAACGCAACACATTTCCGACATTCTGATCACACACGTACTTGTCATACACAGTGTTTATAGAAGGCAAGAAGGCACGAATAATTACAATACAGGTCAGATTGTGTGCAGGTCAAGGTTACTTACAGTAAGTAGGGAGACGCAAAGATGTGGGTAAGAAAGAGAAAAAGAGAAAAACAAAGCAAAGAAGGGATTGAAATTATTATGAAGTAAATTTGACCCTTGGTTCTAAATTGGATTACCAAGGCAGGTTTAAGGTAATAACAAATAACTTTTGGACACATAACACAGATTTAAATCTTCTTATGGCTAACGCTTCAACGAATTTAAGTACGTGGCCCAACCAGCCATAAAAACAACCAAGGACCAATTTACTTCATAACATTTTCAATCACTTCTTTGCTTTGTTTTTTCTCTTTATCTCTATCCCACCCACATCTTTGCGTCTCACTACACACTATTTGTGACCTTGACCTCTACATATTCTGACCTGTATTGTAATTATTCGTGCCTTCTTGCCTTCTATAAAAACTGTATGACAAGTACGTGTGTGATCAGAATGTCGGAAATGTGTTGCGCCAATACATTACACGTTTCAGATAAACTACGTCTTCTTTTTGCGTTGTCGAAAGGACATCAATTTTTCACGTGAACATTAAGGTCACAGAAAATGTGGAGTGGTTGTCACAGTTATGTCTTCTAATCAAAGTATATTTAATACACGCAACAATTCCCACTTTTTCCAGTAATAAAAGTCATACACTCATGTAAAAGTCTATTGGATGAGATATGACTTGATAATTCCAGATGACAAATTAGTGGACAGTTATTCTGCATCCTTAATTTATTATAGTTGGTTTGAACCTAAAATACTCTCTTCTAGTACAAATAAACCAGTCATTTGACCACCATCACCTCAACACATGAAAACCGATTCCTCTTCTACCAAACAACATCACATATGCTGACTATCCATTTCTACGTGCGATAAACACACAGATGCTGGCGTGACTACTTACTGGCCAACTTTCACTGAGTTATCGAAGAAAGTGTCGTCTATTTGATTTTAATCTGTTGACAACCTGAGTGGTTTATCTGGAAACGAATGCCATTTGAAACGCAGATGGTGTGTAGTCAAGTTGTCTTAAGCAATCTCAAGTAGAAACTTTCATGGTGTGCGTAATTTCAGCATGGTTTGTATGTGTTCACGAGTATTCCAGTGAAGAAAGTCATTAGAACGATTTAGTGAAGGCTGTTATTGGGTGAAGGTGCAAGAAATTCTGATGAGAGCTGAAAGTTAATCAACAGACAGGGATTTGTGTATTCGTGTGGAGATGACTGAGGTGAACTAAGTATGCCCATTGAGTCTGATTATTAGGATGAGTGGTTTTGTGATTGGATTAATTTATATCACTACACTCTTCACTACATAGACTGGCTAATATTTCAGCTGTGTTTGTTTTACCATGTTCAGCATGAAGATAAATGGAGTAGAATATTGCAAAGGAACGTGCGTTGCTATTATATCTACTGGCACATCTTTGATACTGGGATCGAATGAAACGGTGGAAGCGATTAATTCTAGACTTGGGGCCGAGCCGGTCGGAGATGATGAGTATGGATTAAACTGTAATGATATTAGCCTGCTCCCTCCTATTGAGTTTGTCTTCAAGAAGAGGAGCTATGTACTTGAGGCGAAGAACTATGTGCTTAAGGTAAGTATGAGAATTCGGTTGAACATTGTGATTTTCTCGTGATCAGCACCTCGATGGGAATTTCCTCATCAATGCCACTGGTTTGCATTTAAGAAATGGCAACACATTTTAAAATACAGGTGAATTTCATCGTTTTTAAAATGGCCTAAGTTAGGAAAGAGATCTCATTTCGTAACCTGACTTCGAGTCTGAACAGTTAATTGAGGTTAATATATATAGTGCTATCTGACAACAAATGTGAGACCCATCGACACGACAATGTGCGAAAATTATGAATAATCGAGAGGGTTGATTGCCAATTACTTATGTAATGATTAGTAGTTACTTGGAAATGACATATAAGAGCCAGAGATCGGTGCATTGAAAGTGAGTAACAAAAAATATTAAAAAATGTGCAAATACTGCCTAAAGTTCTTTACACAACAAAATTGTCACTAAAGACACCTTAGTAAAGGAGGCTGGATAAAAACGTGTTTGAATACAAAGTCCCGGTTTTTCCTAGTGGATTCCAGAAGCCTTGGTTACATGAAATGTAGGCGAAATCCAGTCGAACTGCCTGGTCCTATTTCACATATGACTTTGAAGTAACTCTATTCTGAAGCTACATGCCAAGAAGTAACATCGTGCTCCAGAATTGAGTCGTTATCTGTCCCGTACTAACTTATTCCTTAGACTACCATGCTGGCAAGTGTTCATCGGCCTACTTACACAGTGTCCTGTTAGTACAGTCCACATAGTTGACTCCATAGGAGACATTAAGCTGGTGAATTGACACTGAAGTCACCAAAACCTACAACTTGTCTTTGCCGATTTGGTGAGCAAGTGCAGGTGAGGTGAAATAAATGGCAAAGAAAGTTCTCGAAATGTTGTCAACAGAAGACCTCAGAGAATTTCACTGAATTTATCTCCCTGTCTCTTCTTCACTTTTGCGGAATACTGTTCCTTAGTTTCATTTCTTCCTCTCTTACATCGTCAAGTGTCATCCACATCCTCGATTATCATTCATTCTACACAGAAATAATCATCAATTCTATGCAAAATATTGGTTTCAGCTTCTAAACAGACAAATTTAGCCGGAAAGTTGGTGAATTTACTCATTTCCTATGGTTGTTCTAATTTTCATTTTCGAGATTTTGAATCAATGAGATTGATAAAATTCTTTTCATTTTCGCTTTTAGGAAGTCAACTGGTTGAAGACAGAGTGTACATCCCCATTCGCTAGTAGCGATGAAGTCCCCCCTGGAGTTTGGGTTCTTGGCTATGTATTTATGAGGAATTTCTACACTGTATTCGATTTTGGTGAGAAGACGATTTGGTTAGCTGATGTTAACGAAGACTGAATCTCACTATAATGAAACCAGTTAATAACTGATCATAAATAAAAACAAAACAATAATAAGACGTAATTTATCTGACTTATGAAATGTATTTGAGCAACACATTTTGAACAATCTGATTCAGCACACACAGACTTGTCATAGGAATATATATGAATTTATTAGGAATTATTAGGTGACGTCAAGTTAAAAGGACATATTCAGGGTGAAAATAACAATGAAGATCACTAAACCAAATAACAGAGGTAATAGACTATCTGCAATGGTTTCAAAACGAAGCTAACCAAAGAAGATTTATTGTGATAAGGAATTCTTTTTCAACGCATATTTGTACGAATCATGTTCCTCCAAGTCCTCTTAGTAACTGCAGAAATATCGTGAATGTAGTTCCGGGTTTGAAATTGCATATGTAAGATTAGAGTGACTATGCCTAAATACACTTCACTGAACATGAAGGTGGCTTCATCATTGATCTGTGCACAAATCAATCTAGAATGGTGAAAAAATTAACTGCGGAACGCACTTGTTTAGAACCAGTGCATGATAACTAATAAATTTAGCGTCAGTTGTTTCTGGACTTGAAAATGATATCCACTACAAATCTGCTAAAACCACTCTCATGAATCACTTATCCCATAGTTCTAGAATGAATGGTTACCTTATCAAATCGGAAGGTATCTAGGTTTGATGGTTTAACTGCGAAACTTTCATTACTCTTTCAGACAGTATCTACAGAGCTAACTTCAAGTTAAGTGAGTTTATGAAATTCCTCATGAATGAAGTATTTGTCTCTCCTGGTGACTACTGCAACTGGCTGCTGTCGTAGATTTCCCTATGATTGTACTCGTCTGCATGGAAACTGGTCTTCTTGTCATCCCTATTTTTGACCCTTCTCTCCTGTCACCTATTATTCATTGCTTGATAGATTGCATCCATATCAACATGTTGACTAACTGGAAACTGATTTGTCTATAGGAACCCGAGGGATTCTCTGGAATACTTAATGTCTCCTTTCTCTAATATATTTGCATCACCCCAGTCGATTTTGTGTCGGTAGTCGTCTGCGTGTTTTGATATGAACGAGTGTTTGTCACATCTTCGGATTACTAGCTTGTATTCATGTATGTGAAGATGAGTAGGATGGTCTGTCTGGCCTATTTGGTTCATGCAATCTATTTTACAGTTGAAGTTTGTTTGACCATCTAGTACTGTCACCTTTTGATTTACACAGTATCGAGTGAAGCTGCTCCATTTTGAAGTAGAAGACATATTCCACACATAAAGTCATTACCTTTTTCAGCCAGTGATTTTAAGTGAAACAAGATTAGGTTTGAAAGGAGTTAACGTTATTCAGAAGGAAAAACGAACCGATCTAAAGATCAATATTTGTTATTACTTGATGTGCAAGTTGTATAGTTATACGTGTTAGAATGTTAAGAATCAGTCTTTGGGACTTCTAGTTGCATGCCTCAAAATCCCCCACAATAGCTCAGATGTAGTCCTATTATCTTCTTCTAATCATTCAATTAGTACTTCATCGAAGTGTGTCGACCCAAAAAGATTTGAATTTGTTCAATTAATCAGTAATGCATTTCATTCTGATGCAGTGAACTTCGGAATCTCCTATGAAACCACCTTCGTTATGAAAATCTGGACCTAGCAGTGTCGACATGCTTCAACTCTTATCTGTCTCCTACATTTGTATTCAGTAATATAACGAAAGAAAACATTTACGTTTATAGGCAATGCAACTTTTTTAGGTAGCAGATGAGACATTTCTTCTGTGTCAACTAACCCCGCACTCATTCTTATGACTACATTTATTCAGAAGTCCATTTGTCCATTCCAGGTGAGACTTGGACTTGTAGAAACATAGTTTCCAAACAATTCTGTTTAATTTCTCCAGTTCACTACTATGGAAGAGCTTCATATGTCTCATAAACGCCTCACACAACCCTTGTGTATACTTCAACCGAAGAGCATTTTGAAGTGGATATCAAATGTTTCGTCCATGAAAACTTAAGCTTGAAGGTGAATGCAACACTAATCATCCCATTACGATTGCTCAGTGTATGAGCTAATGGGAAAGACTCTAACAGTTTTCCTGAAGATATGTTTCTACCTATCAAATTCAAACACTGAATAGTAAACATGGTGCATAGAATGTGAAAGAATTACACGATTCAAACGCGAATATCTCTAGCATTCAGCACGTTCATTCCCCAAAGAAATTAAGCCACAAATCGGTTGACTAATACATTTAAACCACTATATCGTGAAGTCAATATTTTTGGCAAGTGCCACTCCAATTCGTTTGGTTGGAGCCTGTCTGACGAATGAAATCTGTAAGCTAGTCGACCATTATAGAAAGAAGAGATTTCGCATGATTTCACTGTCACCAGGAGAATTGTTCTTTAGTATTTTACGTACTTCCACTTTAACTCTGTTAACCACAACAGTATCAGAACAATTCCAATATCACTATTAAAAATGATCAAATTCTTTGACTATTTCACTTGAAAACACAACCAAATATCATTCAAATCTAGTACATTAAGAGTAGAATATATATAAAATTACAAGTGTTAGTAGTCTTATTGGTTTAATTATAAAAAATTCTTAAATACCCTAAAGTTGACAAATTTGTTGAAGTTGATGTGCAGCCGTACGATCAAAATAGTGTGAGTAGAAGTCAAATATTAAGGACAGGAGCATGAGTTAGAAGTAATATAGAGAGGTATATATTAAGAGTGTCAAATGAAACGAAATTCTAAAGATTAGATTGATTACCACATAGAAAATGGTAGAGGAGGAGTAACAACAGCCACTTTCGGAATGCATGAGCTCAAATTTCAAAGTTCAGTAGTAACCGATCAAGTAGGATTTATATGTATGTGAATAATTCTAAATGCTTTCAGAGCAGCATATCCATTGTTACTAACTAGCATGTATTGAGAGAATGCAATTTAGCACTATTTTCAGCCACAAACAAATCCTAATACGCTAACAAATCTGTATCAGTCTTTTATACGCTCTCCTTCTACTATAACTACTTCCAATGTTACCTACCATGTAGCTGAAAACTTTCATGACTTTAATGCTCTCGATGTTCTTAAATGTCTTAAAACGCTCAAGCCCTCACGTAGCCTTGGCCCTGATGGTATACCTGCATATGTTCTAAAACAATGTGCAGATGCGTTGTGTTCTCAAATAACCAACATCCTAAATGCTTCTTTCTCTAAAAATATCGTACCTGACGCATGGAAAGACATTAAAATAGTCCCTGTCCCTAAACCTGGAAACAGCAATAACGTAAAGTTCGGATCCATTGCCATCACCCACCCCCGTTTCTAAAGCTCATGGAAAAACTAGTACTTCTTAAACTTGAACCCTCCCTTAAAATCTTCGAAGACCACAAACAATTTGCCTATAGACAGGGTAGGAGCACTTTAGACGCTGCAGCCATCTTACACAACAGTATCGTCTCATCATTAGATAAAGGTGCCAAATACGTCCGCTACACGTTTCTTGAGTTCACTTCTGCTTTCGACTCCATACCTAAATGTCTCCTGCTAAATAAGCTCTCTTTGACGGACACCGAGTCCTGGGTCACCAACTGGCTGCATTCCTACTTCTCTAACAGAATGCAGTACACCATATAGAATGGTAAATCCTCCTCTGCTGTACTCACTGAAACCGGAGTCCCCCAAGGTGCTGTACTCTCCCCACTTCTCTTTCTCTCTTTCTACACGACTTACCATCTTCAAATGACATTAATTTTGTCAAATATGCTGACGACCTGACAGTATCTTTGCCTGTCAAATGTCAAAGCGACTGCTCTAAACTTAATGGCTTTCTGTCAGAAATCAGCCGGTGGTCCAAGGAAAACGGTCTTACCTTAAACCCCTCGAAATGCCAAACAGTCAATTTCACCTTTAGGCATAAATCCGACCTAAACAAACTGGTTGGCTCTCACGAGGTATGCAACATAGATGGTACTGAAATAGAAACCAAATCGGAAATTAAATACCTAGGCGTCATTCTATCTACTGATCTCTCCTGGTCGTCTCATATCTTGACGATTTCTAAGAAAATTGTTGTTATAATTATTTCTGTTCTTTCAATATATTTGCTCTTACAAAAGTCATGCAAAGTGGAATATGGCTTTGAAGGAATTATGACAGAGCTATGGAGTCTGTAACAATACGACTGTACATGTTTTGTTGTTAGGTGTTAAAAATAGAAACATTGTACGCAACTTTTGTTTAAAACGATTCATAGTGAAATATGCATAACTGCGGAGTACAATAAAAAAAACTCAGTTTGCTTCCCGCTGCTTCATATTCTCGCTACTCTATACTGTCTACTTGTTTCACTACAAAACGTGTTGTATACTTTGGATTTCGCAGGAACATTTTATCTTCATCCGAAGACTCTTCTGCAACCAGTGCACAGCACTACCAGTAGACACGTCTTCAGCAGCAAACACTATTGTA